TAGTGAATAACTATCAAGTGTTTCCAAACAAACGACCTTGCACGTACTCTTATACAAGGTCACAGAGAGGTTGAATGTGTTAAAATCATTTAACAGCTTGTGCCAAACCATGAAGCTAGTCATGATTTTAGCCAGCAGCCTGCTTCAATGAAATTACCCTTGACTCAAACATGGCCACATTTATATCAACCAACTAGTGTTCATTTTTCTGGCTTAGTCATAAGACCTTTAATGTTTTGCAACGATGCGTGTAAATAGTTTGCTGCACGCAAATGAATGTTTTAAGTATAATTTTATAAATTCTGTCAGAAAATCTTTGTTTATTCGAAGTCAACATCCTTATTTTCTTACAATTTGATACACATCAAATCTTTGTTAGACATCTTTGTTATTCCGGTCTTGTCTACTTGTGTATAGGCCTCCACAAGTGACTGTTTACGTCTACAATAGATTGAGTCACAATCGTATGTTCATCGTGTATCTATAATTGAATGTAGATTGTTCATTCAAGCACAAAAGCAACATATGGTGTTCAGAGCTGTCATGTTTGGGGACCATTTTGCTATGATCAATTTCTTCTCGGAATTGAATTATTTATATATATATACTTAACACACAAAGACCATCCTTATAGACGTAGCAAATGTTAGACAACACGTTCACAAACATCGCCGGATGTACGTAAAACTGAATAACACGCGATAGAGTCGGAAGAGGCATAAAGTGTTTATCAGATCACAAATAAGGAAATGAGTGATCGCTTTAAGGACAGGAAATTTCCTAAGACATGACACAGCGTCTTAGGCTATAGACAGATGTTCTTAAATAATAGAATTGATCAATTTCCTTGAACTCAATTTTATCAAATTTAATGACATTACAATTAAGGTACATTAATATTCTTATTTGATGTTTTCTTAATAATTATTAAACAGGAAATGAAATATCCAAGTACAGGGATTCAAAAAGAATGCCATTATATTATACACAGTGACACAAATTAAAGATACTTAGATATTCAACACATGTTTAAAAAAAAATCAAAATCGGAAGGACTGTATGATTTGACTTGCAGAGCTTAATTGATCTGCGATTCTTAATGTTTTAATATATACATTGTATATATACATGTATTTTATTATCTTGTTTCTTGCAAATTTTGGCAGGAAATGCAATTATCATGGGTTTCATTGTTGAGTGCATATCTTCTGTCCACATGCATGTTAATTAAAGTTGAACTTGTACAGGAATTAATTATTGAACATATATAGCTAGACTGTCTGCATGAGGATGGGAACCTGGAGGGATGACTTCATCAAGGGCGAGGGAATCTTAGGTCTTTAATTGTGTCATCAAAGACTTCTAAAATGTCATGCCGTAATAATGTGCATTCATCGTGCAGCAAAATGGAGTTTAATATCTACGGTTATACATGTATGTATGAGTATATTTATATCTTGGGGATTGTCAGGGGAAGTGGATATTAGCTAAGGCATCATCTGGGTGGTCGGCCATTCAACAAGGCGGCCAGGGTTCAATTCCCTGATCCATGTGAAAAGGTATGCGGTCACCTGCCCAACCATGTGGGTTTTCTTCCGGAACTCTGAGAGTGATTTTTATAAGTTGAAATAACTTGTTTCATAATTGTTGTGAAACAAATAAAGTTTATATATACATATATATATATTAGGGCATCATATCACTACAGGTGTTTAAATACAAAGGCTGTGTATATGTACCTGATTTAGGTCTGGTTTAATAGGTAGGGGTATGACCAGGGAAATATTGGAGGCCTATAAATAAGTAATGCAGAAATGTTCTCAAGATTTTCACCACATGTATATATTCAGTACATCACAATATCAATGCAATCTGTAGGCTGTACATTTATACATGTATTTGGATATTTTTCATGGTTTTGTATCCTTAGAGAGCTAGACATATTGCCGTAAGAAAATGTAAGTTTATTTATTCTAAGAACTGTTTGCCTGCAGTTTGAACATCCCACCTAGTAACCAAAATCTGTGGTATTTCAGTCACAATGATAACAAGGCAACATCAACATCAAGTCCTTGTAAACAGGACCTAAAGTTACCTTGGATACTCAGGAAGTTCATACGAAACTTAAGCATACCCTAGCCTATTTATCCTGCAATAAGACCAGGGGGCCAACACATAATCTCTAACTCAAATTAGTGGCCGGGGCTTATTACAGGACAACTCATATTCTCTAACTCAAAGTAAAGGGCGGAGCTTATTACAGGACAATGAAGCAGTATATTATTGTTAGTATTTTTACTGAACTGAAATAGATATTGATGGGCTTATTACCAGGCATTGGCTTATTGCCGGACAAGTACATTAAGAATTTAAAGGGCTTTTCAGGTATTTGTCATTTGATCATCTTAAAAAATAAGGCGCCTTATTTATATCAATAGTTGGTATAATATTTGATTATTTTTTGTACAGTATTTTTTCACAAGTTTATGTACATGTACTTAAGTGTATATTTGTTTACCTGGTAATTAAATTAACGGAAAGTATTTTATCTTTTGACGTCTCAAAATCTGGATCCCGTCCACATTTCATTACTGCATATATTAACTCTACACTAGATCACAGGCAGATTTTGAAAAAAAATCTACTTATTATTTATGCCTGACCTATATTTTTTTTATATTTTCTCAGTAGATAAACCAGATATTGAAACTGTTCATTTATAGACGAGTTTAAGAGTGCTGACATAAAATATTCTATCCCGGACATTGAGCTAGTGGGGTCTTTTACCCCTGATAACGGAGTCAATTTAAGACCCTATTTATAAATATTTGAACTAGACCACCTAGGTGTTTCCTAAAAATAAAACCATACTTTGCAGGACTTTTATGAAAAATGATAAAGACGAAATAAACGAAATACAATCAACACAAGTGTGATAAATTAAGCAGGGCTAGACGAGGGATTCAAACCCTGGACTCCAGATATCTAAATGTTTAGGAAAAGGGTAGTGCTGTGGCCTGGAACAAGGATCTTTAATATCGTTCATTCTAATGATCAAGGCAAGTCCCGTGACCTATTGAGAAATCATTGATCTATACTTAGCATTAGGATCAACATAAGTCTTGTGATCTATTAAAAAATAGTTTTCAAGACTGGTCCGATTATGTATACCTTTTTTACCTGTCCATGCTATGGTCTACAAGCTTACAATGTTAGCCTGTATTTGCAATCAACCTGGGTATATATTCATAATAGGCTGCTACTACTAACAAACCTCGTATGATCATGCCCAACTATTGTGAAATACTGCCACCTACGTTACCGTAGGGAATGATGGATTCTGAATGATTCATACAGGTGTGTTAAATGGAGTGGCTATATATGTACCTGACCTGTATAGGGTGTGTTTTGTTTAAATTGTGATAATATTATATAACTGTTGTAATATACAATCACTGTCAAACTGCAATGATCAATGTGTTCATTGATAAAGTTGATGTTCGGTATGAGGTAAAGGTCGGAGTTACGTAACACTGTCTGATACTTAAATCAGTCCTAGTCGAGGTCGATGACCTATAATGTGAACACACGTCTATATATTTGTTGGTAAGTACAAGTTTGATATAGTATACTATTACTTGTACAGTTTTTGAATTTTGATAATTTCAAAACAGATAATACATTGGGGTATTTTCAACAAACACACAAAAAAAAAATTTTTAATGACTGCTCTGTGCTTGAAAAAAATATGTATTTCCCAAGAAACGTCAGGGTGACAGATCTATTTACATATTTATAAATATAAATATTTCTAATGAAAATGTTCTGAACTTAAAAAAAACGAAAATCTGATTTAATTTCCCCAGAAACGTCACCTTGACAGATCTACATGTAAGCGCCATATACAAGGTAAAGGATATATATATATATATATGAAAACTGTCAAGAAATGAGTTTTTATAAGTTCATTTATGCCAACCTACTATTAAAATAGAACCTCAGGCCTCCAGGGCCGTTATGACACAATACTTTCATATTTATTAATTATGTTGGAACGTTTTCAGCGAGGTTAAGAGTTATTAATAGAGAAGTGCTATGACGTTACAGGATAATTACCTTGTGCGCATTACACAAGTTATGCTGTTTTTTTATGAAACAATTATCAAGACAATTCAGTCATATTTAAATGAGATGTGCTTTTCTGTATGAGTACCAGTCATAGTTATTTAAAAGATCTATGTTTACTAACAATGTACAACGTGTATACATGTACATGCAAATTAATTGATGAACATGCCGATATGCGCACATGTGTGTGTTATGTGTAATCAGATTATCGAAAGAAAACAAACAAAAAAATACACATTGTACGAAGTTTCTTCTTGGTTTATAATATCGTTTTACGTCAATGACAAAAAATCATAATAAATATATTTAAAAAAAAATATATATTTGGAGATTGATTTTCGTAGCATTTTAACATCGTTTTTTCCCCAATTTTTTAAGGTGCGAAACATTCGAGTAGAAGCTTTTTCTAGATTTTCAGCCTCAAAAAGTACCTGCGCAAATTACATAGGTGCGCAAATTACATGGGTTTTTACGGTACATTGAACTGTCTGTAAGTTTAAATTGGTCCAAACGTAAATATATACCTGAAGTCTTTTTTGCTTCTAAATGTAAAGTTTTAACATGCATTTTTTTTGGTGATCATTCTAGCCTTTTTATGCCTTCAAATTTCTTGCCATCAAAATGGGGAGGGAGCTGAAGGCACAAGGCAGGTACAGGTAGTTTTACCCATAACCTCTGTTTCACATCCTGTCCCAATTCATCTCTATCGACTTAACTTCTTAACAGATCTCAACAAAGCTTATACAAATTAAAGGTCAAGTATGAGATCACTTTGGAATAATTTTAATTTCAGGGTCTTAAGGTCAATGCCAAGGTAACTTGCTATTTATAGGTCAACCATTAGTATTTTGTCAACGCAGATTCATCGTCATCACTTATGATTAACTGACTTCTGGTACAGAGGCCTAGCTGAGGGGTCGCCATGCATTCACGACTTACAGATTTTTTTCTTGAGTTTCCATTCGAGATCAATGTACTGGTAAGTGAAATTCTGTGGATATCTATCTTATAATATCTCTGCAGAAATTATCACCACCACCACCACCACCGGCCCCCACCACAGCTCATGCAGTGTAAACAATAAGAGAACAAATATATGTAAATTAAGACCCATTTATAAACAAGACTTTCTGATCGGCTATAGTGCTGCTACACAAATCAGCAGCCGTGGTACCGAGGTATCTATTGATACGGTATAAGTTATCTCCTTCACTGCACAAGGAATTTGGCTCCTTCACTTATACATACTGATATCATGGAGAACAGGAGATTCTATTTCCGCACCATCAGTCAAACTGAGAATCTGAGAAAACAAAAAGTCCATGTATACATAATACACTCGATCAATGAAAACATAGCACAGTTTTCACACACATACATGTATAGACACCTTGGTATATATACAAACTGCTTCCAGCTAGTTATACAAAGAGATGTGTATTCCTTTATATGTTGGTTACCTTTCTTGTGGTTAAATTGTAGGTCTGAAATTGGATACAAGCTCCAGGTTGAAAATATGCATTCTTATGGCTTTATTTTGTGTGTTTATCAGTAGAAATGTTGTTTGTATGGTAATATTGCTAGTGTATTTATACCGTACAGATTCTAAAACTACATTTGGCTGGGCTCACATATGCATCAAAATTTGTATTATTGATTGATACAATGAGGGAAGTTTCAGGGATTTAAAAGATATCGTTTGGATATAGCTTATCCATAAAACTTGGGATGTTTTATAATTTCCAGAAGTTGTTTTGGGTGGTTTTGTCGGTTCAAGAAACTTCTGCCACAAAATGGCATTTTTATCAGTTAGAACGAGTAAAATTGAACAAAAATGAAACTGCTATAGAGCATCTGCTGATAAAGTGACACACACAATCTTTCAGAAAATTAATGATACCCCCTTTATAACTGGGGAATTAAGCTTGGAAGTTAACAGCCATGGGAATATATATCGTCAAATAATGAGGTATGTTGTCGCTAAAAAATGTGTCAAAATAAAGGTGCAACACTTGTCATAATATAAACCACACCTAGCACCCTTAACCCTTTCACCCCTGTATACCACATCCAGATCAATGTATGGTAGAGTCTACTAAAGTTACCTAGGGGTGAAAGGGTTAATTCATCAAATACAGTACTAGCATACCTAGGTATGAGGGAGTCACTGAGACATTCTTAGAGTGCAGTACTTTGTAACTGGATTAAATTACGACATGTAGGACAACCCAACAAGTAGTGGCCATTGTTAACAGAAAGTTCACTCGGTAATAAACTGGTAATGCTGTGTATTCTAAACACAGCTTATAATCCCTAGGGCTAAACAGTGTATATTGGCTTAAACATTTAAAAATGGAGGTCAAGATATGTGACACTTGTCTGGAAATGAAGAGTCAATATCATCTTTATTTCTTCCAAATTGGCGAGCATGATACAATGATAGATAGATAGTACATGAATAATATATCTACTTTTTACAGTCGAGACAGTTTGCTTTCAAAATTGCAAAATATAGTCATATATTCTGTATATTTTATTAAAAGTCAGAATTGGATGTCAGATGTAGAGAAAGTCTGAAAATATTATGTACAGACATTATATACATGTAATTATTTTTCTACACAGAAAATGTTTGTTTATAACTCAAAACTTCATTTACAACATTTCGGCGAATACTTAATCCTGTCACTGCATTGCATACTTATAATTAATATATTTAGTCATGTGAAAACGGCACTGTATGAAAGGAAATGGATTATATAAAACAACATTTGTGAAATTATTTGTTGAAGTTCTGTAAATGAAAAGATGCATGCATATGCATGGTGACCATCATTGTCAATTTCAGCTTCATGTTGGAGTTAATATCAGAATGGTTGTCATTCAGTCTTATACTTGGTGGACGTCAATGAATACCCATCATGGAAACTCGTCACAATTAATTCGGGGGAATATGATTACCTAGTGATGCCGGGCAGTGTTTTATTGGCAAAGGACGACACATAAACCTAGGTCAACCAGCATGGAAAGTCGCGATCTCTCCACTTTATGGAGTACGCCAGCATGGAACGTCGGGAATTGTCCAATTTATGACCCCCACTCACTGACGCCATCAATCAAAAACATTTTTAGATTTGATGATCTCAGTCCCAAATGTTTATTTGCATGCTGATGTCATTAACGATATACACAGATAATAAAAACATATATCGAACCGGTTGTCACATCATAGATTTTATAGCATATTGAAACAAATACACTTTATATTCATTGCGTATGTATGACAAGTGTTATATGATAAGGTAAGGCCATACCAAATTAATATTTAGTTTTGAGAAATGTGTACGCTGAGTTTAGTGTTAATTAGCCTCTTTACCCCCTAATTCCCTCCCATCGTACAATTTTGACGGCTGATTAGCGTTTTAAAATAAAGGGACTGTCTTATCTCATTTAAGTTATCAATAAGTGTCATAAGTGATTTTTAAAGTGATGTTCGGTACAAATCAAAATACATATAAATGTATACTGTTGTTTTCATTGAAGATGTATTGTTTTTGCATGAAAATTATTTTCAATTTTATTATAAATGACCGTAATTCCAACACCAACATACAAATCAGAAATAATTATTAAAAAATTAATTTATAATCAGGGGGTTTAACCTGTAGCCAGTAGCTGGTAAAAATACCCTCCTTCCACAGATATTTCACCGGCTACTATCATGTGGAAATAGAAGTACTTGTACTATGAAATGTACTGAAATTAACCACCCACTGTGTGTTGAATACATGCAACGTGAAATCTGATTGAAACTGCAGTATTAGTATAATATTACAAATAGAAATATAGAACTAAAGAGCTTTAAATATCAAATGTATTCAAGGTTTTTCCTACAAAAAACAAATTAGTGCATAAAGCCAAAAAAAATTGTATGTGTGTTTCAGGTATCCCCAATCGCAACTGACCCTAGATTTTACTGACGACCCTAGATATTTTATCACCTACTTGTATCTAAGATTAATTTATTAGCCATGCGAAGTTCACAGCCGCTCATTAAAATGTACTTTCTTCCTGTTCTGTGAGTCTGACCTTATTCTTGACAAAGTGATAGCCATTGTAATGTGTGGAAATGCATTGTAAAATTTGAAATAAGAATAATATTAATTCATGAAAATAAATATTTTATCTATTTGCCTTCACCGACTTACCCTTATTTTTTGCAGGCATGTTACCTTAAAAAATCAATATTTTTTTTGGCCTAAAATCATGCATGCACAATGATAGAATGATAACACAGTGAATGTGTGCCAACTGTTGTACACGTTAAATATAACTATTTAGGTGGTCCTAGAGTATGGTCAGAACTATTTAGATGATCCTAGAGCATGGTCAGAACTATTTCGGTGATCCTATGGTAGGGTCAGAACTATTTAGGTGATCCTATGGTAGGGTCAGAACTATTTAGGTGATCCTATGGTAGGGTCAGAACTATTTAGGTGATCCTAGAGTATGTCAGAACTATTTAGGTGATCCTATGGTAGGGTCAGAACTATTTAGGTGGTCCTAGGGTATGGTCAGAACTATTTAGGTCACCCTAGGGTATGGTCAGAACTATTTAGATGATCCTAGGGCATGGTCAGAACTATTTAGATGATCCTAGGGTATGGTCAGAACTATTTCGGTGATCCTATGGTAGGGTCAGAACTATTTAGGTGATCCTAGAGTATGGTCATAACTATTTACGTGATCCTAGAGTATGGTCAGAACTATTAAGGTGGTCCTAGAGTATGGTCAGAACTATTAAGGTGGTCCTAGAGTATGGTCAGAACTATTTCGGTGATCCTATGGTAGGGTCAGAACTATTTAGGTGGTCCTAGGGGATGGTCAGAACTATTTAGGTGATCCTATGGTAGGGTCAGAACTATTTAGGTGATCCTATGGTAGGGTCAGAACTATTTAGGTGATCCTATGGTAGGGTCAGAACTATTTAGGTGGTCCTAGGGGATGGTCAGAACTATTTAGGTGACCCTAGGGTATGGTCAGAACTATTTAGATGATCCTAGGGTATGGTCAGAACGATTTTGGTGATCCTTGGGTATGGTCAGAACTATTTAGGTGATCGTAGAGTATGGTCAGAACTATTTAGGTGTTCCTAGAGTATGGTCAGAACTATTTAGCTGATCCTAGAGTATGGTCAGAACTATTAAGGTGGTCCTAGAGTATGGTCAGAACTATTAAGGTGGTCCTAGAGTATGGTCAGAACTATTAAGGTGGTCCTAGAGTATGGTCAGAACTATTAAGGTGGTCCTAGAGTATGGTCAGAACTATTAAGGTGGTCCTAGAGTATGGTCAGAACTATTTAGATGATCCTAGAGCATGGTCAGAACTATTTCGGTGATCCTATGGTAGGGTCAGAACTATTTAGGTGGTCCTAGGGGATGGTCAGAACTATTTAGGTGATCCTATGGTAGGGTCAGAACTATTTAGGTGGTCCTAGGGTATGGTCAGACCTATTTAGGTGATCCTAGGGTATGGTCAGAACTATTTTGGTGATCCTTGGGTATGGTCAGAACTATTTAGGTGATCCTAGGGTATGGTCAGAACGTCCTAGGGTATGGTCAGAACTATTTAGGTGACCCTAGGGTATGGTCAGAACCATTTAGGTGGTCCTAGGGTATGGTCAGAACCATTTAGGTGGTCCTAGGGTATGGTCAGAACGTCCTAGTGTATGGTCAGAACTATTTAGGGGATCCTAGAGTATGGTCAGAACTATTTAGGTGGTCCTAGGGTATGGTCAGACACCTGTTATATTTGCTTAAAGATCATAGCTGTTGCCGCTCAGCCTTGTTTCCTGAATAAAGAAGCGAATATATAGGTCGACTGGTTTTGATGGGAGAACATCTCTACTATTTCAAAATGAAGAAATAAAACAGTTCAAATCATGACATTGACCATTTACCTTTTTTTTAAATTTCTTTT